TTGCATCTATGTTGTACCGAAGGCAGGCAATCATGACTCTCCTCTCACCAGCTTTCCTGCATTCCTTCTCTTGCACCTTTGTCTCTCAGGGCTTCTCCATAAAAGATTATAAAAACTATAAAACTTTGGGATTGTATCTTATTTTCTCTGCAGTTTGGTGGATACAGTACCTCACATGTCAGACTAATGATTCTGGTTGGGATCATTCTATACAATTAATTCAAATATGAAGCACAATATAAGCAATATCCTGGCTACTGTTAGTAATACTTGTGTCCACAATGGCTGGATGTGCTACGGCCTCAGAGAAGTTGAAGAAATCCAACAGTTGTCTGACTCCTACCCTGCTTACACATGGCTGGGCTGTTACAGCATGGTGGGAGGTCATTATACAAATCCACGCATGACCCTGCTCTCTAAGCACTTAGAGTCAAGGTTAGATATTTGACTGGATGTATTTTAGTCATGCTACTCTCTCTAAAGAAAACAGAACATAAATTAGCACAAACTTCAAATCTCTCTAACTTATCCCAGCAGAAGGCAAGCCTTTGCACAGACAGAACAGCATGAAGCTACTGCCCTAGGCTGGTCTCCTACAGGTACCTCTGTACCTCCTAGGACTCAAGTCATTAATCCTATATTGAGTTGGGCTGTTCAGATGTTTGGCTTATTTAGATGTTGGACTGTCCATCTCATTTAGAGCTCTCATACACATTACTGTTTGTTTTTTTTTTGATGTAGAGAAGGTCTGGTTAAGGTTCACTTGTCAAAATGACCCAAGATTACAATGTGAGGCTCAGTCTGCAATACAGAGGTGAGAAAACTTGTTCCCTTACTTTGTTCATTTTATCCAGTTACAACGTCACCTCTACTGCCTATGTGCATACAGCACCTAGCACTGGGGTGGCTGTAGCACAATGCAAACAACAAGGAAGACATCTTGAATTCTCACATTGAGAAATACATAACAACACAGATTTCCTCTAGGTCCCGCTTTCAGCACAGTGAAGAGTAACAGATAGCCATATTCTCCAGTAGGAAATAAGGGAAAAGAAAAAGCTAAAGTTAAAACTCCAGATGAAATGTGTCTCTTAGGCTGATGACTTGGTACATAATAGCACTTTGATCTTATCAATCAGAAAATAATTTGACTTCAGCCTTTTCTTTTGTGTATTATGGCCAGGATCATACCAACACTCTAATCTAAAAGGATCTGTTCTAGCTCAAGTATTATTTATTCACATGCTTTACTATTCTGTTTCATGGAGAAATGCAAGGACAGCATCTCATTAACTGAAGGAAAATAAAGTTTTCTTTTTTAACGTCATGAACATGGTAGCTCTGCAGCCAGGGGTAATGTTCAAAACACTGAATGTACCTAGAGATATAATGTGACAAGGAAACTTTCCATGCATTCAATGAGATATGACAGCACACAGATAAAATACTAATCCCTTGTTATCAGCTCTAGGTACCAGACTAAATTCAATTGTCAGAAATTCTCAGCAGAAGTTGACAGGACAAAGACAGGTTTCATTTAGGGTCACTGGAAATTCCTGCTTCATTTGCATAAGCATTTCAGCCAGTGCTTTAAGAGTCTCGCTTTCCAGCAAAAGTTTAAGCAATTAAATGTAGCCACATGTTAACAGCAAGCAATTGTTTGAGGTCCAGATCCTCAAAAGTATTTAAACACCAACACCTACTGATTTCCAGGAAAGGCAATCCAGCATCTTAGCCTAAATGTGCTGCTAGGTGAAGAAGTATAAATCCCTCTGAAGCCAATATGTCTGTCCTATCCATATGTCTGTGTTCTGGCAGTTAGGATGACGGTAGAGAATCAACAACAAATTAGGAAAATATTTTATTTGAGTTTTTAACCATATTTTTACTCCCTGCTCTTTCTGACAAAGGATAATGAACTTTTTTTATTCTCTCAAGGTATGATAATATCCTCAGAGAAATTTCATATTGGATTTTACAAGTATTTGGTATATTCTTTGTTTATTGTCTCGGTGTTCAGCGGTTAGCAGTGCATCGCTCTGTTGTTATACAAACCAGAAAACAACAACTACAAATAACAATCAGTCTCTGCCTCAGGACACACAAGCTGAAGAGAACGATCTGAAAATGCTTTGGAGATGCTTGCCAAAACCAGACTTACTGTTTATGGCTAGAACAGATGCCTGCTAATTCAGGTGGGCACTTAAAATATAAAAGCAGATTAAGTCTACACACACGTCTCTGAATCACCTGCACTATGGCCATGGTTGCACCAGCCCTTCGTTAAGCCTGAATGAAAGGTGAAGAAAGGCTGCAGTGTCCGCTTTAACATTTTAAGCTGGTAATTGTAATTATACTGGGATTTGCCGAGGATGTGAAAACTACACACTCCTCCAACAAGCAAACTCATCATTCCTGGACTTGACATGCAATAGCACGGCCTTGGTTGTTGACGATGCCCGAATCCCAGATCTTTGACTATTTATGTGCGTATATAAATGCTTATGCCAGGGGTACAAAAAAGGCTAGAGAACTGAACCAGGAGCCAGTTACAAGAGGCAGAACAATCTGGTGGTTGCATCCTGACTTGAAAAGCAGAGAAGCTATGTTTTCTTTCTTTTTCTCAGCAACATGCATCCACTGTCATCTGGCAAGCTGACAGAAACTTCCTATGCTTCATTTTCTTCACATGTAAAACCTGATTAATCAGTAATGTGAATAATTTAAACTTTCCTTCATCAGTGTTGGCAAAAGGGTAGTCAAAAAAGACATTTTAAAGGAACCTTTAACAGTGAGTGTGTATGGGGAGGAACAACCATGAGCAGGGAACGGAGCTGGAGTTCCAGGGAGCTGCTCAGAGCTCTGCCATTAACTGTTTGGAAACCAGAAAAACAGCATTGCACCTCTGCATCCCTCAGCTTCCCCATCCGTAAAACGGAGATAATAATAGAATCAAGCTTCACTTTATAAAGCACTTTGACTGAGGGCTGAGAAGGTTACCTTCATATTAGCATCTTGCTTCTAGGAACTATATTTCTAGAAGCATACTATTACCACCCTCTCCCACTTCTGCTGAACACCCCTTTCTTTTTGAAGTTATTATCTTCCTACCGTTTTTATGTCATTAGTGATCCCAGTCAAGGACAGAGAGCTAAAATGAGCAACAAAAACAATGACCTTCATTTAGAGACATAATCTGTTTAATAAATATGACTGTAAAAGCAATAAACAATAGCAATTATACATTACACTACATTGTATTTAACGAAAGGGAAAAAGAAGATGAAAAAGTACATCAGAAAAAGTAATTTTAAAATTAGAAATAGTTCCAACACTATAAGAAAACTTTTTGATCGGCTTACTATAAAAATAAGTTGGCTAATGTTGGACTTCAGTGGGGAATATTATACAGTCGCTGCCAAAACTTTCCCATCTTTCTTAAAGCTGTAGTTGCAAAGACAATAGCAAAGCCATACAAACTGCTGTGGTCCTACCTGTCTTCAGAGAAACTACAGAAAGAGGCAGAGGACTCTCTACTGTGATTATCCTTTAACTACTACGGGTCTAATATTCTTACACTTGGTATCACTTTTTTTCTTTGCCAGTAAGTAGGTTGATTTGGGCTCATGCCCAATTTGTGACAGAGAAATTCAAACCCACCACCACCACCAAACCCCCGCCCCAGGACTCTGGGCAATGCCAACAACGCTGCTTTCTCCTGTTTTTGACTCAGGTTGCCATGTACTATGTCTATTGAACAAAACCCACTCATGTCAGGAATCAGGGTGCCTCCTAAGTGTGCTACACTGATTATGAACAGGCCTCTATTTGCCTTCACCTAACATAGTTAAGTAAGTGTACATTGGTTACTGTCTTTCTCTCTTTCCACTTCAAACCAAAATCCTGGTGCTAGGTTTACCTGAGTTGGGTTGGAAACCAACAGCTGTGATGACCACGGGTTAGGCTTCAGCCAGCTATCCAGTGTCTTGGGAAGACTTGTTCAAGGTATGCTAAGCCTACTTTCCTGCTGTTCCCTTGCATAGTCTACGTGAACATGTCCTGCAGCCTCATTTCTAGTTGCAGTGTAAGATAGAAGCTTACGTTATTGGTAAGAAATTAAATCTTGTACAAGAGTGGCCCTGTGGTGCTGGGGCTCAAAATGCATGGCAACAATCTCAGGCCAAATCCTCCTTTATTCTCCCTGCTCTGCCCAGAGTGGCAGGAGTTTGCAGATCTGCAACCAAGGGAGGTTGCTAAGAAGGCCATAGAAAACTGCGCATAGACCTTTCCCTGCTCCCTATTCTATGGACAAGGTGTCTTTCAAAAAACTGACAGGCCTTGGGGTGACTCCCAGAAGGCAGAGATCTCCTGGGACTTCCCCAGACAAATCCAAACATGAGCACTAAATGCAGCTGAAGGTGTTACTTGGGCTTTCTCTTAGCCAAAATCGAAGTTGTAAGGCTGGTACAAAGTACAGTGTAAGTTCATGCTGGCAAGAACCTCCTACTCCTACAAGTGCAGTATGGACAGATCTCCCTGCCTGTAATGCATGCTAGTTCTGTTCCATTCAAGGTTAGGAGGCAAAAAGTTATATTTCAACAGTGCTATCAGTGGGATGCCTTGGTGTAAGTAGGCTAAAAAAGCTGTTTAAGAAAGAGCCTGGCCTTGCAGTTGGGATCACCCACACTCGCACTCAGCTTCCTTGCAGCTGTGGGGCACAGGCAGCAGCTGCAGCTAGAGGAACAAAGGGCAGAGTCCAAACAAAGACATAAACCAGACTGACCAAGAATATTTTCAGTGCCTTTAAACTCCAGTGTGATTTTTTGTGTGTCCTATGAAAGTCTGCTGGGGCAGCTAGCCCTCCCGCAGCCCAGTGCTAAAAGAACAATTAAATCTAAAGCCAAGAACCTTAAATGCCCCCTCCCACCTCCCCCAGCCCTTCTCCCCCCACATCCCAGCCCACCCCTCTCCCTAAAGAAGAGACCCCCATGCATATTCTTGGCCTATATCATTATGAATTTTCTACAAATTAGAGACAGATCAGAAAAAAGAGAGAGTGGAGGGGTGAGGGGAAGGGCCGCAGGAATGAATAGTGGTACCAGTTCCTTTCCCCCCACCCCCCCCTAAAATTGAACACCTGTACAATGCAGTTCCACTATGGTCTCAGTATAATGTCCACATGCACAGGCTTAAAGCTAAAAACCCTTTGTCATCTGAAGAATTAAAAAGTCCAAATGCAGTGAGCTCTCCTCTTTTTTTAGATATAGATATCTATCGGTGTCCTCAATTCAACCATTTACATAGGTAGGGATTTCTTTTGTGCTCTGGGGCTCAGCAGCTGTGGAAATACTTCCTGTGGGAAAGAAAGAACAAAATAAAAGAGTCAGTAAATAACAAGTGCGTTTAACCAAGGAAGATGTTTGAAGGTATCACCTTGCTGGCCTTTGGGATTCAACTGTTCCAGACTGACACGTTCTTCCCAGAAATGTTTTCTTGTCATTCAAAACACTGAAGGTGATGTCCTGTTCTTTTGCTAATGAAGATGATTCACCCGTGTTGAACAGAAGAGGGAGAGGCCAGAGCAGAGGGGTGGAGGGAAGGAGGGGTTGAGGTCCTCAGAGGAAATGTGTAACTCATTTGCAATAATAAGGTGCTGGAGATTTCATAAATAACCTTAAGCTTTGCATTTGCAAAAGAAGAGCCTAAACCACTCACAATCAGAAAATAGGAACTGTGGTTTTTTGCTGCCAGAGTTTGGAGAGAAAATTAGATGATCCAGGGACATTCATTCAGATTCCTCCAAGGAAGGATCCCTGAATGTTAGTCAAAGGGGTTGAAAAAAACTGGCTTCTGAACAAGCATACAAAAGAGAAACACCCAATTACAGTCTTGCTTTGTTTCCCAAAAGAAAGAAAACTCATTAAAAAAGAAATTGCTGATTTCCAGAAACAGATGAGGTGGTTGTATAGGAGAGTGAAGAGCCTTTGCACTTTCTATTCTGTTCACACCTAGGTCCAGACCTTCTCATTTTGTCAATGAGCTCTGATTCAGTTTCCTCATTCGTCTTACTGACAGGATGGAAAAACACTCTTAGGAAGTTTGTTGAACTGATTCCTTTTATAGAGAATTGAGTCTATATATCCCACACATTTACCTTTTGTGCTTGCTAGTGCAGTTACAGGTGCAAACCAAGGAGTTATAAAAGGCCAATTTCTGGTTCAATACAGTGTCCAGTAGCACAGCTGAGAAACACACAAAACACTGGCTATTGTAGAAAGCCAGAAATGCTATAGTTGCACCAAATGAAAACCTACCCCCAAAATTGGCTTTTGACCACTCTTATCCGAGAGGCTTCAAGGGTTTAGTTTCCAGCACCAGCAAGAGCAATTTTGAAGGTACCTTGAATAGAGCTAGCAGGTGACTGAGTCTTGCCGCTTCAAGTCTGAATGACCTGTGAAAACATGTTTCCCTACCCCGGAACAGCATGAACCACGGTCATTACATTCTTTTAGAAAGGGGAAGCTCAAAGCCCACCTAACTCTAGAAAGAGAGTTCCTGACCTGAAATTGGGTGTTTCTCCCTTAGCATCTTGCATCAATTTTGCCTTGGAGGCTTGTAGGGGAAAAAGAAAAAAAAAAACAAACGAAAAAAAGAATTGTTAAAGTTTGGGGCTCCGGGTCTTGGCTTGAAACCTCTTGGTGATCCACAAGCCTTTTGGAATTTGGAAGTCCAGACTACCTTGGTTGCATTTCCTTTCCTTGGGTTCTGGACTGTGGCCTGGGGTTGCTCTGTATGGGGAACACCACATGGGAAGGTTGGTCCCCTCACTCCATCCTGTGTTCTGCTAAGCAGGGATGTCCAGGTCTGTTAAAGTTTAGGACCCACCGCTCCGGGTCTTGGCTTGAAACCTCTTGGTGATCCACAAGCCTTTTGGAAGTCCTCTGTCCAGACTACCTTGGTTGCATTTCCTTTCCTTGGGTTCTGGACTGTGGCCTGGGGTTGCTCTGTATGGGGAACACCACATGGGAAGGTTGGTCCCCTCACTCCATCCTGTGTTCTGCTAAGCAGGGATGTCCAGGTCTGCTGATGAATAGCTGCTTAAAAGCTTTTAATAGCTACCAGATCTCTCCTTAGTTACCAGGTGAGGAGAGATCAGTATTGATTGCAGTGGGGCTTCCAGCTTAGACATCAGTTTCATCAAGAGACTTTCTTCTTTTTTCTCCCAGGTTGTTTCACAGGGCACAATCTTAGCACATCACATTCCCTCCTTTAATTGCCCTTCCCCTTGCTCCCTCTCTGCAGTAGCTATGACTCCAAGCCTGCTTTAGCAAACACTCAGGTGGGATCTAAGGTTTGGTTACGCTGAAGAAATTGTGCAAATAAGGGATCTCAGTTATGACTATGCTTCACTCCTGTCTAAGTCAAAACAGCTATAAACTGTAATTCCTCTAAAATAGGTCCATGTCCTTATTTGCAGGAGTCCTGTACCGTACCTCTGGCCTGGGCCTGCAGAATTGTCACCTCACAAGTGAAGCTGAGCAATGCCCGAGCAATGCTGGCTTTAGCAGAACATGTCCCCAGGCTGAAACCTCCCTGCTCCGTCCCAACACTTTTGCTGTAGTCAGGGTAACAGAAAACATATAAGCATGAGCAAATGTGTGACTGATCCCAGTATGCCCACTTCAAGTCTATTTGCTTTAGGTCCTGTGAAAGCCTGCTTTGCAAATTTTCAACCACAGAGGCCTGTGGGAGGAATCAGCCTGAGGGCAAACCCAGCTGTCCAGTGCTGAGATCCCAGGTTTTGCTCGATTTCCGTGGGAATCAGCCAGGCTAGCATTGCTGCTGGCAGCAAGGTCTGGCATAGCACAAAGGCCACAGCAGTCAAAACATCAAAAAATATTTAGCTTTTAGATCTGACTTACCGAATCACCTGCTCACCTCCATGTTCCAGGTGAGGGTGGCTGAAGTTCTCCTGGATGTGGGGTTTAGCCCCACAACTATATCAGCCCCAGCAAAATAAATTAAATTGCCTTATAGCGCAAGTTAAGTGCTGGCAGGATTTTTGAGAAGGGGAGGGGATCTACATAGAGCAACTAGGAGAGAGAAAAAGCCTAAAGTTGTTCCCCTCCCTTTTATCACATGGCAGTGAGGGAGAGGGAAGAGTTAGCAAGGTTTCCTCTAGCAAAACTAATGCTGCAGCAGAAGAGGATGGGAGGAGGAATGTTCAGGAATATGGGAAGGGGGGAGGCTGAGAAAAGGGTTAGCCAATTATAAGTCAGAGTCTGACCAGCTGCGGGATGCTGCAAGTTATTTACCTATGGGCTGGACTTCCAACTTCTCATCTACTAGTTGCTCAGGGCTCATCAGCTCACTTTGAGGGACATTAGGTATGCTTTCCCTCTGACTGACTGGACTGACCATCTCTTGATCTTTTTCATTCTGCATCTGTGCATACACATTAAGGCCAGGAATCTTCCTAAAACATTAACAGAAACCATCATTGTGGGGTACTCTGGCAGATGATGTAGTATCAGCTTTTACAAACTGAGAAACAAATCACTGTGAAAAAGAAAAACCAGCAAAACAAAACCCAAACACCTCAGTGAAATGCAGCAATGAGGAGAAGGAAATGGCTCAGGGAGGGTCATACCTTTTGAACTTGTAGATTACAAACACGGCTAGTCCCACAAAAACGACAGAGAGGAGCATCAGCATAGCTGAACCACTGTGACTGGGAGTGAGGTCCACCAGGGGAGCTGCAAAGAGAGGGTAAGAAGGTTAGAGCCACCCCCAGCCTGGAGTGAAAATTGCTCCCTCCAGAAACATAGTTCATTCTCCCCTTATTGCACTTGTAGCAGGCCTCATCTGTCCACATGTCTCCAGGGCTTCTCTCCCATTCTAATCCACCTGGGAAGAAACCTGGGTTCAGACCACTTGTGGTGCTCAACCTACCCCTTGATGTGAAGTCCCATAGCTTTCTCCTTAGAAGCCTCTCTTCTCTGGCCTATTAGAGGACTGCCTGAAACATACTTTCTCATGTTGCAGACAATTACCTAAGGTAGTTGCAAATGAGGTCACTTGGGTACCAAAACTGGCATTTTCTGGACGATCCTGCAGCCACCCACGGGCTAACTTGTCATGTTGACTTTCTATTTTGCTTAGAGCTAGTTTGGGTAGCTCCCCATGCATAGTGAATAATGAGTAACAGGCTCCTCAGTTTTACTGAAGCAACGATGCTCACCAAGTGTATTGTTCTCTGCTCAGTCCTGTTCCTTCCTCACCAGAAGGGCAGCGCCCTTCACAGACACTGCCTCAGCATCCATGCCTCATCATGGCAAGTTCTTTTCACACGTCTGACAGTTTCAGTTTCTTCCTTTCTACCTGTCCCACCTTTCTGAAAATGTTCTACTCTCTTTCCCCTGGTGCCCTGCTCTCTCTCCCACAAGTCTTCCATGCAAGAGAGTGCACAGGTTCAAGAAAAAAACCCCACCAAAACCAACCCTAATCAAACAAAAAGTCTCTCTGTGCTTCTCCTCAGAGTTTTGCTCACCACCTTTTCATAGCCCCTTGCAAAATAAGGCCACACAAAACAGCCAGAAGCGTGGCTTTCCCAGAAATACAAAGTAAATTGTATTAAATAGAGAGTTTCCATCACTCATATAAACACACACAAACAGAAAGGCATCTAGCATCCAAAAAGGGACACACATAGGTCCAGTAGTCTCAGTTGTTCATGCAGACACTAATAAAACATACTCTAGACAGACATGCAGCTGTAGCTGTGCCATTACACAGAGCTAACGCACACAGCAGACACATCCTTACTGCCTGTCTCTATCTGGCATTACACACAGAACAAGGCATTGTGGAAGTTGTGGAAGTTAACTTGAACCGCTGTCATACACATCCTCTTTCTCTTGCCCCTCTTCACATGCACTGAACAGACCCATCCTAAACCAGAGCCAGAAGACACAAGAAAACATGCACACGCAAGCAAATACTTACTCAGGCACACACATCACATGCACACATGTTTTCAGCTGTCATACCCAGCCTGATAAAGCCAAAATTTACAAAGAGAAGTGAAAAAACTTCTCCTTCCCACATCAAGCAGGCTATCCTCAGGAAGGTGAGGCACTGGGATGAAATGATCCATTATTATGAATTCCTCACACATTTCCAGTCTGTCCGCTTTGTGTCTGTATTTTGTGGGTCTCTGCAGTTCTGTGGGATGACAAAATGGCTCTCCGACTGATTCAGGCTCAGCATCACTCAATGGTCTTGTTATAATGCTGCAGTGAGAGTCTGGTAATAAACAGCTATTTAACTGCTTTGCAAGGAATATTGGCATATCTTACTCTGCCTCAGAGTTGAGGTTGTTGTCTGTTAGGTTGGGGACATTATTTTATTTTTTCTTTCATGAGAAGAAGGAATGAACATCATGAATGGATTGCAATCTGTTGTCCATAATTGCCGTAAATTAATCCTTCCTCCAGTGTGGCCTGAACAAAGACGATGGGGGCGTGAAATGTGCTGAGCCTAACGCCTGTCATTCTTCTGTGCTCCAGGGAATGCACATGCTCACATAAAACACACACACACAGAGGCTCATTTCTACAGGTTCTGCTTGAATATCCACATGAAGCTAGTTTAGACACCTGCACTTTTGTTCCCTGCAGCTCCTCTGCTGCAGAAATTTCTGCTGTGCATGAAGAGGCACACACACAGGGAGGAACATACATGTGCACTGAGGCATGGGAACATAAATGTAGGCATACATATACATACGTGTGTGCTTACACAAACACATGCTGAGCTTTGTGGTTCAGTCAACTACAGCCCATAGCTGCCTGGAGTCCAACACAGAGTCATAGTGAAAAGACTGAGAAAGAAGGGATACCATAGACCAGAGCAGCACCTCTGGACCATGTGCATCCTCCTGGATTGTGTTTTCTAGGGACTGCTTCTGGTGCTGGCTTGTGTTCCAGGTTTCCCTGCTCTATTTTATTTAATTTTTTATAAAAGCTTGGATTTCAAAAGGACAATTCTTCTTCCTTGACAACCAAAACAATAGTTTTCAACAGCAAAGTAAATCTCTCTTTTGGCGTTTTGTCAAATTCTAAACTATTCCCAAGTTTTGATGTCATGAAATTGGGCCCTTTATTTAGACAGGGAACTGAGTTATGACCTCTGCAGCTTGGTAAGGAGCCATATTCCCTCAAAGACCTCACAGTGGCTGCTCTCTGGGCTTTTTAATATCTAGTTTGGCAGTCCAGGCTCATTTTGCATTCTTACTGAATCATATTTCTGCAAGAGACAAAATCCTGTAGTGTTCCTATAGGACATTGTGAAGCCAGTTACAGCAATCACTCACATCTCACCAGCGGCTTCGAAGAGAAGTACAACAAAGTCTACCTTGCAGGACAAATGAGTGCTCGCATCTATTATGGACAAAAAGTACTCATTCCTGGTGTGTGCACAAAAACAAATAAAAATGTGCATTTTTGGCGAGCACAAAGATCATGTATTTACACAGCATGTCTGAGCCAAGCACCCTCTGCTTCAGCCTGAGCTAGCAAGAAACAGGCCAGCACGTGCCCGGAGGCCATACCGTTATTTAGCTTGGCAGTATGCCACACTGATAGACCCTGCCTTTTGGTTTACGCAGGGCAGCAGACAAGGTTTAGTAGCCCAGAAAAGTGCTACAGTACCTCCACTATCTGGCTTCGGGACTGGAGCTACCCAGCTTTTAGCCAGCTCTGAGCATGGATGAAGTACCTGTGGACTCTGTGCACTCCCTCATGCAGAGGTGCCCAGAATTCCTCTCCAAGAAGCTGCAGGAGGCTCCTCTGTACAGCACAAAACTTGGATTCAGGTTCATCTTGTATTAAAGGCACGGCTGGAGATGTGATTTTAAGTGCCATCTGTTTCCACTACATGAAATCAGGAATGTTCCTTCAGTAGCAAGAGGTAAAGACGAGCCTTTCCCAGGAATATCTAATGTGATTCTAACTATAATTTATTAGAAAAGGCCTACAGGATATTCAGGGCCAGTGGAGTAATTTCTGAAAGTTCATTTGGGATTTGATCTTGACTTTAATGAACACTGACCAAAATGGAAAACAGCCATGTGCATTGGCAGAGTAAATGCACAGAAACAAATTTCAAAAACTATGAGCAATTGCAGGCAACTCCACGTTTTAAGCTCACATTAAGATGCTTTCAGATAGCCTTCTTTTCTGACATGGGCACTGAGCATTTTCTGAAAGTACATACAGTATCACTGGTCATTGTTGAAAATTCAGGCCAAGGATTGCTTCCCTTATAACAACTATTATGCAAAATGTATATTAATTTAAATCTTAAATGTAAAGTCATGCAATTCTTCTGTGTCATATGTCTATTACTCTTTTTTTTTTTTACAATCTACAGAAGAAAAAAAAGTCAAATTTAAACTGACTTCCCAAGCTGTTGTATTTTTTTTTTCTGTAGAGATTAATCAGCTGTGCTGCATCTCTGCTTTTTTATGCTTTTGGTACTAACATGTCTAAAAGTAAGCATCTGATCATCTGTTCCATAGCTAATGGAAAGCAGAAACATGCAGCAATATTCTCAGGGCAGATATTAGCAAATTCTGCTTAGGAAAAATGAAATATTGCAAACACTAGGGTTTTCTTCTGGGGGGATTTAAATGCAGTTGCGTTACACCCTTTCTTAACAGTCTCTTTCTCCTTCTGTTTATGGACAAGGCAACACATGGACTGACACCAGCTTAGGCAGACCAGTTCGTACCATAAAAAGCTGGTACAAGTGAACTGAGGCTTTTTGTTTGCAAGCTAGCAAAAGATGCTGATACCAACTGATCAGAATTATCAGCATCTCCTGGAGAAAGGAATTCCTAAGAATCCTGAGCGTGGATTTGTCCATCCATCTCTTGTAACAGTTAAATAGGGCCTGTGCTGCGAAATGAGGGTTTAGCATGCAGAATACACAGAGATGCATATAATTAACTATCAGGACTTTGGAGATGGTTCATTTTGAGATAGGATTAGTTAAAGTCCAAACTGCCTAATCTGTGTGTGTGCATATGTAAATTGATTCTAGTCTTTCAGACAGCTGAACAACTTCTGAACTGTACTTAGTTGCTTTGAATGTTCGTTGACTCTAGAATATCTGAATATATCCAATGCTAGCTAGTAACCTTTGCACTGTGTGATCCAGGCTGAATATGCCATGGTGCTGCTTAGCTGTTGAATATTTCAGAGACAGCCAAGAAGTATACGTTTCTACTGCTAGTTATAAGGCATTTCCAACAACAGCAGCAAATTCTTGCACATAAGTAAACAAAAGGATAAGCTGTAAATGCAAATGCCACCATATCTTTTTGGCATGATAAAGAAAGGGGAGGTGGAGTAGGCATTTTAATGTCTGCCCATATCCTGAGTTGTTATTGTGACATAAAAATAAGAAGTGTTTAAAACACAGCTGATAGCACACTACTATCATCAAGGAATATACTGCTTGCTGTGCTACAGAGCAACAGAGACAGTGTACACAGAAAGAGGATACTGACCTGCTGTTAAATGGGCAGCATGGACAAGGATTCGAACCCCTGGCTTCAACTCAAAATGGACCAGGTTTTGGTTCAGTTTCTGGATCAGTGTTTCTGAAATCTGGAAAAAAGGAGAAAATAAGAAATGCATTTGTTTCTTGATCATTGGTTTAGATTGCCAATAGGTGGGTAGGAAATGGAGCTGCATGCAAAGCAAAGATTTTGCAGAGGCACCAGACTTTCCGAGCACAATTTCATCTCACCTTATAAAGAGAGGGTTTGTGGCAGCTGAACACTTCTGCCATTACTATGTCCAGAGTGGTTTGTGTATAGTTAGCAATGACTGATATCAACAAGTTGCCCTGTCACACCTCTCTAGGAGCAGTCCAGCAGCAAACGGGAATTGAGCCCCAAAGGAACATTACACCCATGTGTGTAAGTGTCTGCAGGACCAGCCAGCAACAGCACATCAGTGAACTCCGTTTACTACTTAAGCAAAGAGAAGCATTTCAATTGTTAACACTCATTCACGCATAACAAATAACTTCTTGCTCATTGAGTGGCCAGCTCTATGATCTTAGAGCATGTTCATAACGTGATATACCTGAATCAAAATGAATAGTTTAAGTCCTTACCCCAGCTTGCACTGAAATTTCAAGTCCTAAGGCCAAATTTCATTTTATCCAGCTCTGATTTTCAAGCCAGCTGCTCCCTGATTCTTAAGTATGTACCAGAACCAGCTCGAACCTGAAAGTGTTTACTGACTACAGAGAGTGGCTTAAACAAAGTGCATGTTCCATCTATTCTTATGGGTTACATACAGAGGGAGCATGCTTTTATATTCTCTCTTTCATGAGAGAGACATTCCACAGAGCTTTTAGATCACTAGATTATGTTGCCATAAGTCTGATGACAACAATAGAGCTCTAACAGAAATGAAACAGGCTATTCCTCCTTAAAGGACACAACAGAAAAGATGAGCATTTGCTGAGATGAGACCCCATAAAATCTGTATTTGTACAGTAAAGAAGCCAAGCTTTGGTCCAATCTGTTGGTAAACATTCCTTTTTTGAGTCAGTTTGTCACAATATGCACAGAGCCACTTTCTCCATATCACTCTTAATTATATCCAAGAAGTTCCAGGCATGTTGCCATTAAAAGCAAAAATCCAGATAGATTAATCAAGGAATGGAAGTCTATAGACATGGTGTTGATAGCTCGTTGTGTCTTTTGTATGTTCATTCGCTAGATTTTTCATGTATTTCACATTTTCTTACAGCAGTGAGCAATTTTCCAACTGAACATAGCCACTGTTCCGCATGTTGGTTTATTAGGGAGAGGTGGTTGGAAAACTGCAAAAAACCACCCCCACCCCACAACCCTTAATATGCAGTTGCTGAGAACCTTGTGTTTTTATAGCCATACCAAGATCAAGAGGAACCGTATTCTAGTGCTCACCACTTAATTTAATTTGTTTTAAATAAACCCGTATTCCTTCTTGAAGATTAATGAAAAATTGTCAGAAAAAAGAACATTCCAATAATTTTTACACCATCTTTTTCATGTTCTTCATTTTTGTCTGGTTGAGTTATTTCAGTAAATGCTACCCAGATATGATTAGATGTTCCTTGGCTATCATTCATCACAGTATGAGATTTATCTGCCTCTTTTATTTTTTTAACATTCTTAATGGTTCTTTCAATACTCTTGGCTTGTACATTTCTGGCTGCTGATCACTTGAATAGGTGCCTTTGGTCCAGTATCAATTTGGCAATAACTCTCACAGGCATTTTATTTGTATTTTTAATATATCTCTTTAAAGTTTACAATTTTTTCATGGGTGCCAGAATGAGCAGTAAATATATTTCTTCCAATAGCAAGAAAAAATACCACCTGCTTACAAAGAGCCATCTGCTGAGCTCAGAGCAGCAGGGATAGTGACAAAGATGTGCAGTACATGAAGAAAGCCTGGGAAGCAAATTATATCCCTCTTTAAGAATTTGAGCATATTAATAACCAAGATTGATGGCTATAAAGAGTGCTTCATCTCTAAAACTGGAGCAACAGATGCAGATCGATATGCTGTAAGCCAGGTACATTAATGGCTCATGGAAAAACATAATTCTGGCCATTTCCAATCCCAAACATGACCTAACAACTCTCCTCCATACCCCTGCAGGAATTATCTTCCTTTGTGCTCTGAGGTTCTGATACTGCTGGGGCAGCTGAGCCTATGAAAAAAAGAAATCACAAGACAGTAAACTGAAGAAAAGAGCCAACCACATTGTGTCATTCCTCTTCAACACATTGTGATAGCTGCACAAAATGGTCAGGGAAACAGTAGAGGTAAAAACCATACATGATGCCTTCTATACAAAGAGGCTTAATGCGATGTATAACTGACAATGCAGCTAGCAAATGTTGCTATCTAGTATTGGAGAATGGTTTCATCAAGGATTTGGGTAAGAAATGGAAGAATAGGAGAACCTCGAGAAAGTCAGCATGAGAAGGGACCAGAGACTTTGTTTGGCACCGGTGACATGAAGGAACACTGAGATCTCACCTGGCCTGCCTGAGGAGTCCTGCAGCGCAGAGAGCAAAACAACAGCACCGGCAGGGACATTACAGCTGAGAGGTGCTGTGGCAGCCTCCCAGCAGGCCAGTTGAGTGTGTGAGAGAAAGCTCAACCAATATTCTGGTCTGGCAAGCCAATGAAAAGGAATAATAGGAAGGGGAGAGGGAGTAAGAGTGAAGTAGTAAGAAAAATGAAGAAAGGCAGAGAGAAACAGTCACAACTGAAGTTTATTATTATTGTATTGCATTGTTATCTGATCATGAATGAGGACCTCATTGTACTACATCCTGTACAAATGCAACTCAGAATGAAATGATTTCTGCCTGAAACCACCAGTATCTCAGCAGAAGCTTGAAATTGCCATCACTGTTCCAGGACTATATGCAAAGCATCAAGATAGGCAGCAACCGTTCATGCTGCTCAGAGTATACAGCATATTTCCTTGGCCCAATTAATTATATGCTCTCCCAGTGGCTTTTTGGGTGCAGCTTTTTTGCCTGGGACTTTATGGAATCTGAACAAGTCAAAAAATGAATAACAGCCTGAGATCTTCAAAAGCGCCAGAAGTTCTTGTGACAATCAGACATCTGCCTTCCTCAGGCAGCTCTGGAGATTCCTGACACACATTTCTGAGGGAAGAACAGATGCACTCAGACATGTTTTTAAAATTTTTCCTTGCTTGGTACAATATTTTAATTCCTCTTTGCATGGAAAGTCAGATTCTCTTTGAAACAGACATATAGACAGTATAGAAAGAGGGAGAAAAATGCATTTCTGTACTTTAAAAATTATCTGAAATAGAAACTGTATATAATGGTTTATAAACTTCAGTATTTGAGATCAATGAGCTGGTTACACAGAGCTAAAGGGCCACACTCACATTGGGATTGGACACTGCTCTCCAAAGTTGGACCTGACAATGTTTCCGGTCCTCACATGGTCCCAAGGGGATCTGTGAACCGCAGATCACTCAAGACACTCGCTCTGAGATTGGAGAAGTGTCTCTTCTGCCCTTCTTATTCTATCAAGTCTATTTCTAGCTCAGTGGATCACAGGTTGTCAGACTTTAACCGAGTGGTTCTGACTCTCCTGTAATTTGTTTACAACGTTAATAAAGTGTCTTTGAAGTAAATCTCCACACAATGGCTGATCTCACAGTCACCAAGGTAATGAAAAGGTTTCAATGGAAAACACTTTGGGTGTTGTGCCTCCCTTTATTTCTGCATTCAAAGTGGTACCATGGATGCATTTTTGTTTAAAAAGCAGGTAAGGAAACATCAAAGTACTTTTGCCTGTTTCATAAATAAATGCAACATAAATGCAACTCTGATTGAATAGCTAGACCTTCAGCTGGGGAACAGGTTGGCCTCAGGCCTGTCCCTGTTCCTCTCTCAGTCTTGGAGATGCAACTAACTCAGCTGAAGACAAAACTTCTTAGAATAGCAACCTCCTAATTTATAGTCTTCAAGAGTCTCCCTTGTGAAAATAATTAGCTTTCAGAATTAGTTTTGGTCCTTAACTGAGCCTCATTGACTTTATCTGCTTCATTTGCAGAATTAAGCATGATGTGCAAAAATAATTCAGTAATAGAAACCATTCTTCATGTATCATTTTTCATCAAAGGACACATAATGAATAATAATAACAGACAATTTGTGAAGGAAAAAAAGAGATTCCAATTTAAAAATGGAACAAAACAAAAATTAATTTGGCTTCTCTTAGCATTTTGTCAGAATTAGGACTGTGAAAGAACCATGTGCACCAAGAAACAGAATTATCACTCAGATGGGCATTTTCCCATACCTTCATTGAATTTTGAAACCTCTGGTGTAAATTGGTTTAGACTAATTGAATGTGATTCAACTGTGCCAGTATGTACTAGCTAAGAATCTAGATAATTTTACAGATACTGTGTAAGGATCTCAACTAATGAGTGCTACACTTCAATTCATTGAGTAAATCAATAAACAACTAAGGAAAGAATTATGCACATTGATTGGTAGGAAGCAACTTGAACCAGCATTACAAAAGTGAATCAGGAATCAGGGCAAATGTGGATTACTTTAAACTGTGCCACTTGCCCTGCATAACCTTGGTTACTTCACATGAGGCCTCTAAAGCTTGCTTGCCTTAGCACTGAAAAGAGCATAATCACTGACTTACAGGGTCCAGCATGAATTTCTTGAGATCTTTTAATGAAAGATGCTAAATTCAAGCTGCCATTAGTATCCAGAGATACTGTGATGGCACAAGGCGGAGGACATTCCTGTGGTTACTCTGGGAAAAGAACTGACCAGGAGATACGAACCCACAGAGAATCTGGACATAAAAGCCAGGATCCCCTTTAGATGAACAAAGGTGACCAGAAGGAGTCTTGAGCATCAAGGGCTGCTCTGTACACTGAGCAAAAGTTGAGAAGGCGAGAGGGCTAATAGTCACATGGCAGGAGTTAATTCAAAGATATTAAGACAAGATAAACAGACAGCCTCTTCTACAGCACACAAGCAGCTGATCAAGAAAAGCTGGCTAAGGAAAAAAGCCCTTGG